ACCACTCTAAGAACCCTCCTAAACCCTCCAAAAGCCCCTTTGCTTCGACCCCTACACAAAACCCGAAACCCGAAACCCTAAACCCTAATCTTCTGCGAATTTTCGAAGAGAAGCCCCTCATCTCTCAGCCTTAGGGCTTAGGTCTTAGGGCTTCGGGCTTAGGGCTTCGGGCTTAGGGCTTCGGGCTTCGGGCTTAGGGCTTTAGGGCTTGAGGGCTTAGGGTTTAGGCTTTAGGGTTTAGGGTTTAGGGTTTAGGGTTTAGGGTTTAGGGTTTAGGGTTTAGGGTTTAGGGTTTAGGGTTTAGGGTTTAGGGTTTAGGGTTTAGGGTTTAGGGTTTAGGGTTTAGGGTTTAGGGCTAGGCCGGAATTTCAGCCCGGCCACCAAGAGGTTCCAGGAGGTCCGCAGCCTCCCAGTCGGATGGAGCATGAGCCAGCTGCGAACAGGCTTCTCGTCCTTGGAAGCCCTAAACCATAAAGCCTAAACCCTAAACCCTAAACCCTAAAGCCGAAACCCTAAACCCTAAACCAACCCTAGGTCTTTGGGGTTAGGAGTTTCGGACCTCTTGGGACCTTGGAAGAGTTTCGATTCTTGCTTGGGGCACCAAAAGGCCCAGAAACCGTTAGGGTGGGTCTGAGTCGGATTCAGGGTTTAGGGTTTAGGGTTTAGGGTTTAAGGTTTAGGGTTTAGGGTTTAAGGTTTAGGGTTTAGGGTTTAAAGGTTAGGGTTTAGGGTTTAGGGTATCCCCAATCCCAGCCCGCTAAACTCGCAACCCCACAGGAGTGTCGAGTTCCGGCTTGGGGTTTGGGGCACAGCCTCAATTTGCCAGAATCAGAATTTGGCCCAGCATCGCTCTCCGAACTTATGGACTGTCCCCGCGCGGGCACCGAAACATTCTGCACGGTTGGAATGGGCGAGACATACTGCGACCGCATCGTGGTGAGGACCTGGCTGACCCTCAACTGCAGCCCCCCAAGACTGGGTGCAAGCCGCTGGCGAAGCTGATCCAAACAAACACCCCCTAAACCCGTAAACTCTAAATCCTAAACCCTAAACCCTAAACCCCTAAAGCCTAAACCCTAAACCCTAAACCCCCAAAACTTTGGGGGCTTGAGGCTTTCGGGAGCTTAGGGGTCTAAAAGTTCAGGCGGGGTCTGGTAGGCATGGGCTGCGAACCTTAGGTGTGTTCAAGGGACCCTTTTTGGTACCCTGCTCCCTCGAAGCCTTGAACCCTAAGCCCAAAACCTTAGGCCTTAGAGTTTAGGGTTTAGGGTTTAGGGTTTAGGGTTTAGGGTTGAGGGTCTAAACCTGCAGGGTTCCCAAGAGGCCTTCTTGGCAAGGACGGTCCCCCAACACGCGTGGCGCTTGAAGGAGAGGGCTGCGATGTCCCTATCGCTGCCCAGGCTGCTACCCAAGCCATGGAGGCCTCCTGGGACGCAGAGGGTTTAGGGTTTAGGGTTTAGGGTTTGGGGTTTAGGGTTTGGGGTTTAGGGTTTGGGGTTTGGGGTTTGGGGTTTGGGGTTTGGGGTTTGGGGTTTGGGGTTTGGGGTTTGGGGTTTGGGGTTTGGGGTTTGGGGTTTGGGGTGGAGGCCTCTACAGCCTTCTGGGATGCAGGGATTGGGGCGTTCGGGAGTATTTGTAGTAGTCGTCGTCGTAGTCGAACTAGTAGAAGCAGAAGAAGCAGTAGCAGAAGAAGCAGTATGTATTCATGCTTACTTTACTGTTCATGATGATTACGTTGTTTTTCGTGTACGCTCCTAAACATCTTAACGAAGTCCGGTTTCTGAGCGTCTCGACGGAGCTCGTGACCTTGACTTCCGCAGGCTGCTGGCACGGGGGTTGTGGTTGAGAAGCGGGATCCTGGGGCGGCAGTGGCTCCGGTTTAGGGTTTCGGGTTTCGGGTTTGGGGTTTGGGGTTTAGGGTTTAGGGTTTTCGGGTTTAGGGTTTGGGGTTTTGGGTTTAGGGTTTAGGGTTTAGGGTTTAGGGTTTAGAAGTGGGATCCTGGGGCTTCAGTGGCTCCGGCTGCAGATGGTGCTTCACGTCGACGTGGACCGCGTGCACGCGGACATCCCGCTTTACACTCGGCACCGGCCCCTTGTAGCGGTGCAGCGAGGAACTCCTGTCACCGGACGCCGTGGCGAGATCCGCCTCGTAGCAGTCGGCCAGCATGCGATGCAGCTCCCAAAAGGTGTGCCTGCCGGACCTTGGGGGAGGAGGGAATGAGGTACCCTATATAATCCCTTAAATAGTCCCTTACAGGGTCTAGGGCCCTCACTTCCTAGCCAACAGTAAGAAAAAAAGTGTACCTGCCGGACCTTGGGGGAGAGGTGTCCATTCGCTCTCTTTCCAGGAGCCTGGGTGGGGACTTGTCCATCCGATCCATGGCGGCGCAAGCACTCCCACAAAACCCAGAACTGGAAGATGCCGCCCGGAGAGAGCTACCCTAAACCCTAAACCCTCCGAAACCCTAACCATAAACCCTAAACCCTAAACCCGAAACCCGAAACCCTAAACCCCAAACCCTAAACCCTAAACCCTAAACCCTAAACCACCTCACCTGTTGCCTTAAGTGCTGCCATACTCGTCCCTGAGCCACGAGCTCCAGGTTGGAAACGCCTATGCACTAAGCTCAGCCATGAACCCTAGACCCTGAACCCTAAACCCTAGACCCTAGACCCTAAACCTCGCCTACTAAATATATATTTAAATGTTAAACCCCTTCGTGGCCAAGGCACAAAACCTTCGTGGCCAAGGCACAAAACCTTCGTGGCCAAAGGCACAAAACCTTCATGGCCAAAGGCACAAAACCTTCGCGGTCAAAGTTTTTCGGCTAGGGTTTAGGATTTTCACAGTCTTTTTTTAAGCCTTACGGTCGATGTTCGAGGGAGGGTTGGGGAATTCTCATGTTCACAGTTTTTTTCGAGTGTTATGTCTAGGGTTTAAGATTTTCACAGCTTTGTTTCGAGTTTTAGGTCTAGGGTTTAGGATTTTCACAGCTTTTGTTTTTCGAGCTTTGGGTCTAGGGTTTAGGATTTTCACGGCTTTTTTACGAGTTTTAGGTCTAGGGTTTAGTTTTGTTCACAGCTTTTTTGGTTTCTCACGGGTGTCTCATGTTCACAGTTTTTTTTTTGAGTTTTATGACTAGGGTTTAGGATTTTCACAGTTTCGAGTTTTAGGTCTAGGGTTTAGGATTTTCACAGCTCACAGCTTTCTTTTCGAGGTTTAGGTCTAGGGGTTAGGATTTTCACGGGTGTCTCATGTTTTCATAGTTTTTTCGAGTTTTATGTCTAGGGTTTCTGATTTTCACAGTTTTTTTCGTGTTTTATGTCTACGGTTTAGGATTTTCACAGCCTTTTTCGAGTTTTTGGTCTAGGGTTTAGGATTTTCACAGCCTTTTTTGAGCTCTAGGTCTAGGGGTCTTCGGGTTGATGTTCAAGGGAGGGTTCCACGCATCGAGGCTCAAATATGGGAGTGCGAACTTCGTGACATGATTTTTCGAGCTTTATGCCTAGGGTTTAGGATTTTCACAGTTTTTCTCGAGTGTTATGTCTAGGGTCTAGTTTTTTTAGGATGTTCACAGTTTTTTTAAGTCTTATGCCTCCGGGATGAAGTTTTTCGAGTTTTACGTCCCACGCATCGAGGCTCAAATATGGTAGTGCGAACTCGGTGACATGATTTTTCGAGTTTTATGCCTAGGGTTGAAGATTTTCACAGTGTTTTCGAGTTTTATGTCTAGGGTTTAGGATTTTCACAGTTTTTTTCGAGGTTTATGTCTAGGGTTTAGGATTTTCACAGTTTTTTCTCGAGTGTTATGTCTAGGGTCTAGTCTTTTTAGGATTTTCACAGTTTTTTTTAAAGTCTTATGTCTCCGGGATGAAGTTTTTCGAGTTTTATGTCCCACGCATCGAGGCTCAAATATGGGAGTGCGAACTCGGCGACATGATTTTTCGAGTTTTATGCCTAAGGTTTAAGATTTTCACAGTGTTTTTTTCGCGTGTTATGTCTAGGGTTTAGGATTTCACAGTTTGTTTTTCGAGTTTTATGTCTAGGGTTTAGGATTTTCACAGCCTCTTTTTCGAGTTTTATGTCTAGGGTTTAGGATTTCCCACGCATCGAGGCTCAAATATGGGAGTGCGAACTCGGTGACAAGATTTTTCGAGTTTTATGTCTAGGGTTTAGGATTTTCACAGTTTTTTCTCGAGTGTTATGTCTAGGGTTTAGATTTTTTTGGATTTTCACAGCTTTTTTTAAGTCTTATGTCTCCGGGATGAAGTTTTTCGAGTTTTATGTCCCACGCATCGAGGCTCAAATATGGGAGCGCGAACTCGGTTACATGATTTTTCGAGTTTTATGCCTAGAGTTTTATGTCTAGGGTTTAGGATTTCACATTTTTTTCGAGTTTTATGTCTAGGGTTTAGCATTTTCACAGTTTTTTGTTTTGAGTTTTATGTCTAGGGTTTAGGATTTTCACAGTTTTTCGAGTTATTGGGAACGCGGCTGCCTAGAGCAGAAGGAGGTTGGATATTTTTCCTAATGGTGTGGGACCCAATGGGCGGGTGGGTATTCCCCTGTGCCCTTGAAAGCTGCTCAATGCTTGGACCAGAGATGCTGAACCCTAACCCTAAACCCTAAACTTGCGGGTTACAGATCATTACACCTTGCGCCGGACCCGACACTCTCAAAACCCCTAAAGCTTTTGGTCCCACGGGCCCCAGTCTCGCAGCCTCCGCTTACACTTAAAAAGCGAGGGGGTTCGGGTTATTCGGGTTTCGGGTTTCGGGTTTAGGGTTTAGGGTTTTGCAGGAAAGCTAGAGGACCGACCCATGCCGGTCCCGCATGCTTGCAAGGCATGCTAAGCGATGTGCGTGCCCAGACATGGGAGGATCCACATAGCAGATTCTCTTAAGGGCCCCAATGGCCCCAATAGTAGTAGAGGGCTGCTCTTTTGGAGGGCTCCACTTCAAGGATCCTCCCAACGTCTGCGGTAGCAAAGTCAGGCGGATCAAATCTTGTCGCCATCGTGGTCCACGAAAACCAGCTGGTCGGCCCAGAAGCAGTGGGCGGAAGCGAAGCTCTCGTCGACTTTCAAGTCTGGCCAACGCTTGGCAAACACCGAGCTGAAGAGAGACTCCACGTTCACCTACGGCTCGCTGGGGATTGAGGCCAATGAATATGTAGCCTAGGTACTGTATACATCCCTATATATATGTATGTATACTGTATATATACACATAAAGGCGACAAGAAATTCACGGCTGAGGGCTTCGGCAGCCAGAAACACGACAGCATCTGTACTAGCGCAAATGCAACGCAACGGTAACCAACCACACGTTCCCGCAACTGCCGACGAAGCCCTTGCCAGAAAGGGTTGGGAGGGTTCATCTTTAAGGGTAGTTACATGGTCCCTTCATTGAGCAACTGTGAGTTGCCTATAGTTTGTTGGCTTCTCTTTGTTGAGGGTTCTGGAGGTTCGGCTTACGACAAAAAAGTTGAGTCTGTATTTCGCTGGGCTTGCGGAGAATCAAGTTTCAACCTCACAGCCCTGGTAGATTTCTGAAGGATAGTATGGGAAGCCACCCCACAAGCAGAGGGAGGCTCCTCACATGCGTGCTAGATATCCCTACTTAAAAGCACTCCTCTGACTTGCTATCCCTAGAACCCCTGCGCAAATCGCCATAACCCACCTCACGAACCCCACTCACTAAGTCAGAAGGGCTTCCAAGTCCCACATTGCTGGGGCTCCTGAACACTGGATCCTCTCTACACCCGCATAAACCCCCAACCCTGAAGCCCCCCTTTTTAAAGCCGCTCGAGCCCCTGAACCCTGAAACCCTTTGAAGGCTACATACTAAACTCTAAACCCCAAACCCAAAACCCAAAACCCTAAGCACGAAGCCCCGCAACCCTCAAAACCCCAACCCTAGACCCTGAAAGGTCTCCAACTTGTCTCGGGTGGTGGTACTTGAATGTAGCTATAGTCAGAAGCCTTCTTGGGGATCCTTGTTGGCTATGTATAGCGACCCAAACCTCCTAGCAGGATAGTCCCTTATTTGGGGGTCTGAGACCCTAAAAACCCCAAACCCTTCTTTGGGCAGGGTCAGCAGAACGCGTGCCCCTGGACCTTGTTAACCCCTAGAGAAGAGGGTTAGGTGGTTTTTGGCTAGGGGTTTCGGCCTAGGGTTCAGGTTTGCAGCTTAAGTTCGAGGGCTTAGTTTAGGTCGCAATTAACGTGGCCCGAATTCTAAGCCCTAACACCAAACCCTACACCCTGCTTTTGCTTCAGGTCTCCTGGGGAAGCCTTGCACGCTAAACCCTAAACCCTAAACCCTAAACTCTACACCCTAAACCCTAATCCTTAAACCCTAAACCACTCTTTCATATATAATATAAATGTTAATGGCTTTGCGGGCAAGGTCCGAAAATTAGTGGGCAAGGTCCGAAAATTAGCGGGCAAGGTCCGAAAATTAGCGGGCAAGGTCCGAAAATCAGCGGGCAAGGTCCGAAAATCAGTGGGCAAGGTCCATTGGCTGCCCCACGACCTTGCCCACTAATTTTCGGACCTTGCCCGCTGACCCACGACCTTGCTCACTGATTTTCGGACCTTGCCCACTAATTTTCGGACCTTGCCCGCTAATTTTCGGACCTTGCCCGCTAATTTTCGGACCCGGGAAAGGCCCGAGAATTAGCGGGCAAGGTCCGAAAATTAGCGGGCAAGGTCCGAAAATTAGCGGGCAAGGTCCGAAAATTAGCGGGCAAGGTCCGAAAATTAGCGGGCAAGGTCCGAAAATCAGTGGGCAAGGTCCGAAAATTAGTGGGCAAGGTCCGAAAATTAGCGGGCAAGGTCCGAAAATTAGCGGGCAAGGTCCGAAAATTAGCGGGCAAGGTCCCCCCCCCCCCCACCCCCCCCCCCCCCCCCCCCCACCCCCCCAACCCCCCCCCACCCCCCACCCCCCCACCCCCCCCACCCCCCCCACCCGCCCCCCCACCCCTCCCTCCAGCCCCCTTCCTCCCGCAACGGGTGTTGGTCAGTTGAAAACGTGTCTGACTTGGGTAGGTAAAACTCTTTGGGGTAGGATGAAAACCGTATATTTTCTTAATGTTATGGGATTCTTTGGGCGGGTGGGTCTTTTTCCGTTGCCTGAACACACTACTGGCCTAGTAAATGCTCGAACTTGAGATGCTGAACCCTAAACCCTAAACCCTAAACCCTAATCCCAAAGGACCTTGTAGCCGCGGTAGTTGCTGGGTGCGTCCTTGCCCTCCTGGTGGGCGACGCGCACGACACCCTGCGGGCCGTCCTGGAGGACCTTGTACGGCCGGTTGATCACCTCGGGTTTGGGGTTTAGGGTTTAGGGGATTACGGTCTAGGGTTTAGGGTTTAGGGTTTAGGCTTTAGGGTTTAGGGTTTAGGGTTTAGGGTTTAGGGTTTAGGGTTTAGGGTTTAGGGTTTAGGGTCTGGGCTTTGGGGTTTAGGGTTTAGGTTTTAGGGGGCAGTGTTTGGGTTTGGGTTTAGCCCTAACGCTAAACCCCTACACCCCCGAAACCTCTGAACTTCTAAACCCTACAACCCTAAATCCCCAAACCCCCTAAAGTTGCAACCCTCTTGACCCTATATAAACCCTAAACCCTAAACCCTAAACCCTAAACCCTAAACCCTAAACCCCCTTTCACAAAACAAAGCTTGCCACTGGCAACTTGGCACGTATTGCAAGAGAGCCGGGTCCTCAGCTTCTTGGGTGACCTGAACAAAACAGGGCTTTTCGGGGTTTAGGGTTTAGGGTTTAGGGTTTAGGGTTTAGGGTTTAGGGTTTAGGGTTTAGGGTTTAGGGTTTAGGGTTTAGGGTTTAGGGTTTAGGGTTTAGGGATTCTGGGCACTAAAGGGGTTAGGGTTCAAGAGTTGAAGGAAGGGTTTAGGGGTTTGAGGGTTCAGGGGCTTCGGGATTCGGGGCTAGGGCAACCAGGTTGCGCAGGGAAGGTTTTGGGCGGTTAGGGCTTTAGGTTGAGACATGATTTGATGCAACCCTCAACCCTCTCTACACTCTAAACCCTAAAACCCTAAAACCCTAAAACCCTAAAACCCTAAAACCCTAAAACCCTAAAACCCTAAAACCCTAAAACCCTAAAACCCTAAAACCCTAAACCCTACGCCCTCAACCCGGTTTCCCGAACGTGTTCCTACCTGGCCACCCAGAAGCTATCTCCAGCAGAGGGATTTAGAAGCGAATTAGTGGTTGGGCTCAGAGTCTAAAGTTTCGGGCTTCGGTTTTGACCTGAAAACCATAAACCCCCAGGCCGACCTCGAAGGCCACGTCGTACGTGACGCCATCATAGGACTCCTAGACCCAGGAGTAACCTAGGAATAAGAAACGTTTCCCATTTTTTGGGTTGAAAGGGGATATTATAAGGTACCCTAACCCCGCAAAAATGGAGAATAAGGGCCTACTCCAGGGTCATTGTGGCCCTAAACCCTAAACCCTAAACCCTAAACCCTAAACCCTAAACCCGAAAAAAGAAAGGGGTCATCGGACTCCTCCAAGTGCGCGGAGCCGCTCTTCGCCAAGACGGCCGTGGTGCTGCCGCACTTGACGCCGGGCTGGGTGGCGCTGCAGCCGATCTTCCTTACTTCTCCAAGAACCCAAGGTGAAAAAAAGAGTTACCCTAAACCCTAAACCCTAAACCCTAAACCCTAAACCCTAAACCCTAAACCCTAAACCCTAAATAAGGAAACCCAACAAGCTTAAACTTCAACTCTGGGCGAAGTAAGCTTCTGCACCCAGCCCTGGGCACCGCTTGGGAAGTCCAAGTTCATGAGGAGGTAGCCTTAAACGGGGCCCCTAATAGCCCCCTTTATACATGTATATATATATATATACATATATATATATATATATAGATATATAATATACACATATATATATATATGTATATATATATATAATGTGTATATATATATATACAAGAACCCCTAAAGAACGCCTAAATAACCCCTAAAGAACCCCTAAAAAACCCCTAAAATAACCCCTAAAATAAACCCGAAATACCCCCTAAGGTCCCTTATAAGAGTCCCTTGGGTAGCCTTTGTCGCCGTTGTCCGCGCGGACCACGTTGGTGGTGAGCTTCAGGAGCTCGGAGCCGCCCCCGATGGCCACCTTGCCGAAGATCGTCTCTAGGGTTTAGGGTTTAGGGTTTAGGGTTTAGGGTTTGGGGTTTGGGGTTTAGGGTTTAGGGTTTAGGGTTATGGCCACCTTGCCAAAGATCGTCTCGAGCTTGAGGGACTCGACGTTGAAGATCATTGCCTGCAACCACGGTTGGGGTTTAGGGTTTAGGGTTTAGGGTTTAGGGTTTAGGGTTTAGGGTTTAGGGTTTAGGGTTTAGGGTTTAGGGTTTAGGGTTTAGGGTTTAGGGTTTAGGGTTTAGGGTTTAGGGTTTAGGGTTTAGGGTTTAGGGTTTAGGGTACTATTAAGCATAATAATCTTGGTTCCTTATTGGGTTTAAGCATTCATTTACAAACTTCAAAAATGTGCTTTCAACAATGACCCAGTTGCGGTGACCCAGGCCTTACCCTCAAAGAGCTCGGGCTTCAGCTTGGGGCTCAGGTAGCTCTGGAGGTTGCCAGCATCGACCGGAAAGTTGCAGTAGAGCATGTTCTTGTCGGTCTCCTCAATGGGAAGCCCGACCACCCCGGAGAGATGCCACAGGTAGACAGCCACTGCCAAGGAACTCTTGAAGAACGCCATGGCGTGTTCTTGTTTGTCGACTGAACTCTGAACAAGCTGGAGCAGATGCTTGCGACAACTCATCAGAAACTGAAATTTGGTCCATGAAGCTACGTGGTGTCTATCTGCTCCTTTCCAAGCAAGACGGGTCAATCTACCGCAACGCGGCTGCGAACAGGGTTGCACCTGACCATGTGTTTCAATCTCTCTCTTCAAAGCCCTAAGTCTGAGAAAAAGCCGAACTACACGACGAGACGCCGAGAAAAGCACTGGAATGAGGAATGAGCTCACTGTTCACCTGGCTTCGCACCAGCAGCCGCAAGTGGCCAGAAATCTCCAACCTCAAGCCCTAAACCCTGTGAGGCAAGGCAACGTCTGACCCGATGCAAGAAGTCTGCCCACCACCTGTACCTGGTAGAGGGTTGAGGAATCTTGGCCGCGGTTCCCCTTTCTTCCACCACTCTGCTTCCCCACTTGACCACGTCCACCTTTTCACCTGTGGCTTTTGGCACCAAGACAAACCTCCAAGGAGCTGCCAACGGGAGCTGGGGAGGGAATCCTAAACCCTAAACCCCTAAACCCTAAAGCCCTAAACCCTAAAGAAGCAGGGATTTTCTTGAGCGAGTGTCTCATTGCTGGTCCTAAGCTGAACAGGGAACCTAAGGACAGAGCCGTTACTCTTCGACTCCTTGCCTTTTCCATTCCTAAAGGGATTGCCTAGGGTACCTATGCAACTCCCCGGTTATCCCTAAAAAGCCTTCAGTATGGGGGGAACCAAGGGGGGGGGGGGGTCGTAAAGACGGGGGGGATTCAGAGCTTCTCAACTGAGATGTGACGCAAGGGGAGCAGTTGCAGGGATGCTTGCGAGGGCGGCCTAGCGTTTTCTGCTCAACCCCCTGCTGCGTTGCAAAATGTCACAAGGTAACGCGCGGCACACGCCCGCAGTTGCTCGGAACTTAAAACGGAGGCCGGATCTTTGCGGCGCACAACTGCATACGAGCCAACAGGGAGGAGCTGCTCACTTGTGGCTGTCACGAATTCGTCAACATTCGTTGCCTGCACTTCGGCGCGCAGTTGGCGCCAACTTCCCCTGCACTTGTGCCCAAGAGGGCGAAGCATCCACGAAGCCAGCCTGTTGCCTGCTCAGCTGAAGTAGCAGCATCGGATCTTCAAGCTGATACTTGGGATTAGCATGATGGAGGCGACGGCGACGGCGGTGGCGGCGCAGGCGGCGACGGAGGCGGCGCCACCTCCAGTTGTTGGGCCGCCGTTGCAGCCTGTCACATTGAAACGGGGGCGCACGGGCCACGCAGCGCCCGCTGGAGCAGCAGCCACTGGCGCAGTTGCCTTCGTTCTCCAGTGGGCACATACATGTTAAAGCAAAAGCAAAACGCCCAAGAAAAGCACCCTGCACACTGCACACATCAATCAGCTCCGCTCGAAGAGTGTCCACGACTGCGCTAAACCGCCCCAAACCCACTGAGACCCCCAAGGCGCCAAGTGGTGCCAAGTTGCCGTTTTCGTAGCAGGGATCGTCATTCCCTGCAACTGCCACGCCACAGAGCCTTCGTGCACCGCCCGGCGTGCACTTGTACCGGCCGTCGTCGCTGTACTCACTGCTGCAGCAACCACAGGCACACTCGCTGCTCTGAGTGCACCAGACCCAGTCTGCAAGCCGGTTGCCTGTGCACTGGCTACCTCCAGGAGTGCACTTGTACTTCTTGTCGTCGCTGAACTCGTTGCTGCAGCAGCCGGAAGCGCACTCTGCGTTGACCACGCAGAGCTGCCAGTCAGGCTTGAGCTGCATGCTGCTGCTGGAGAGGTTCAGCTCCGGCCACGAAAACACCGTGACGTTGTCGTGTGCAGTCTGGCTTAGCGCCGACAGCCCGCGCCAGTAGTCCCCTTGTGTCCAGAACTCGTAGTCCGTGGTGCTCTCTGGATGCACTAGCTGCCAGGGCATGAATGGAAGGCCAACCTCGATCGCGGCGTAGATGAGCGGGAGCATGGTCTTGGCCTTGTGTGCATCGTTCCCCTTGGACCCGAACTCCTGGAGACGCACCCGCTTGTTTTGCGTCATCGCCCAAGTGACCGAGACCTGCCCCACACGTCTGACATAGTCGGCATCGTCGGTGTAGGTATGGATGTCGACAACCTCAGCTTCAGCACCGCCGAGTCAACCGCACAGCTTTGCGAAGGGATTTGGGGGTTCTTGCCCCTTCGGGATTCAGGTTTTCAGCAGCTCTTGGAAGCACGCCGGCCAAACATGGCCATAGCTGCCCACCTAGCCTGTCTAGAAGCCTTGCCGAGGCGCCAGGTCAAACTGGCAAGATTAACTCATGGCACGAGTATCATGTCGGCCGGGTTGCATCGATCTGCGGACACACGTAGAGCTGCTGATACAGAGCATCCAGCAGCCCGATGGAGCCCCCTGTAGAGATCGGTATGTCTGGGTGCATGTTGTCCTCGCGAGGGAGCCCTCTCAGGACAACAACCTAGCCATCTGGTCTATGGCTCTGGACGATGCACAGCGTGAAAATCCAAGCAATAGCAAGTAGCTGCAGTCGCAGACCGCAAAACAGATGATGCTGGTGATGCAAACAGTGATGATGATGATGATGATGATGCTGCTGCTGCTGCTGATGATGATGATGATGATGGTGATGGTGATGGTGATGGTGTGGTTGTGATGGTGATGGTGATGGTGACGGCGACGACGACCACGACCACGACCGCTGCTACCACCACCACGGCTACCACCACTGCTACCACCAGCACCACCAGCACCAGCCTGTCGTCGAAATGTCTGACTAGAAGCAAACTCTGGGATGCAACAGGCCGGGCCTTCATGACCTGCGCCCGGCGGCACCACCAGCCTTTGTCCACGAACCTGGCCAACTGCCCAACAACAACACCACCACATCATTGTGCTGCTTCCGTCGGTCATATTGTTTTGCCCCCCAAATGGATCTGAAGCAGAAAGCTGCTTACCATGGTAGATCGAACTGCGAATGAAAGGCGCGATATGCCTCCTTGTGATATGGTCGACTATGATCAAGCAGTACATGCCGGCCCTTGGGAGGTTCCCCCTTATACTAACAGTCCTTCATAGGGATTATCATAGGGGGATTATAATCCCTAGTAAGGACGGTTAGTACAAGGGGGAACATCCCAAGCTGGAACCATCGAGCCAAACCTGGACATTCCGATGTGCAGCTTCCGAAATCTTGCTGCATCGACTGTCGAGGCCTAATCTAAACCCTACACCCTCAACTCTAAACTCTAAACCCTAAACCCTAAACCCTAAACCCTAAACCCTAAACCCTAAACCCCAAACCCCGCTGAGGGCCTGGCTCGTTGTGGCCTTGGGCTTCGTTTTGAGGAGCGAAAGATGCGACGACCTCCAAAAGAGCCCAGGGCGAAGCTTAGGGTTTGGGGTTTGGGGTTTGGGGTTTAGGGTTTAGGGTTTAGGGTTTAGGGTTTAGGGTTTAGGGTTTAGGGTTTAGGGTTTAGGGTTTAGGGTTTAGGCGAACTCATCGCCATGAAAGCCACGGGAGGCTCAAGGAGCAAACCGGGCTCCATGCATTCCCTCTCTGCAAGATGCTCCGAACGTCTCAGTGGCCCCTCCAAAGCACAGAGTGAGCCTGGTGCAGCTGGCCCCAGGGGGTGCCGAAATGCGGATTCCTGGGCGCCAGACACTGGGTTTAGGGTTTAGGGTTTAGGGTTTAGGGTTTAGGGTTCAGGGTTTAGGGTTTAGGGTTTAGGGTTTAGGGTTTAGGGTTTAGGGTTTAGGGTTTAGGGTTTAGGGAAGCTTGAGATTTCGGGATTCGCCATGTGTGTCTCATGTGGGGGGTCTGCGAGATGGACCTGAAGGTCACAGTCCCTTGGTCCATTTCTGCATCACTTGAACCCTGCTATTGTAGAGCTGTGCGACATGCTGCTTTACTGTTTCCTACCATAAGAATGAAGCACGACGTTGAGGATCATAAGGGGCAAGGAACATTGGGCTGACATGGGGGTTTCCGACATTAGGGGTACCTTATTGGGGGTCCATTTCGACGGGAGTCCTACTATTTGGGGGCCTATATTAAGGGGTCCCTTGTTTTCGTAAACAACCCACATCAAAGAGGTATCAGCATCAGCACCAACACGAACACCAGCGCGATGACCACCATCATCTCTTTGCTTTGCTAGCTATGGACGTGGTTGTGCCCACATCCTTAAAGACGTCTTGCAAAAGGGCAGATGCAACTTCCCTCCAAAACCCTGCACCCTAAAAAATCCCGAAACCCTAAACCCCCAAACTCTAATCCCAAAACACCCCGAAACCCTAAAAAACTATACCCTAAACCCTAAACCCCAAACCCTAAACCCCGAAACCCTTAAATCTGCACTCAACGAGGGGCTTGTGCTGTAAGATGTGCGCCAGGCGCGCATCGAAGGCAACCTTCCCCGGAGCGGCTCTGCGAAAAGAAGCGAGAGGGCTTAGGGTTCAGGGTTTAGGGTTTAGGGTTTAGGGTTTAGGGGTTAGGGTTTAGGGCTTAGGGTTTCAGGTTTCAGGGTTTAGGTTTTCAAGGTTCAGGCTTGGAGGTGAGAACCCGATTCTCCATCTTCCAAGCGAGAAGCACAAAGCAGCCTGGAAGGGACGCGAGCTGCACTTTGGGCATCGAGCTGCTACTCCGAAGACCCCTAGAAACCCTATTCTAAACCCTAAACCTTAAACCCTAAACCCTAAGACCCTAAACCCTAAACCCTAAACCCTAAACCTTAAACCCTAAGACCCTAAGACCCCTAAACCCTAAACCCCAAGACCCGATGCTATCTTGTCTGGGTCCTTGTTAGGGGTAATCTTGAAAACTCTCATGTTTTATGGTTTTTTTGTATTCTCACTATGAAAATCAGCAAGCATCCCCACGCAAGATACTTGATATTGGACATGAGATCACGTCCAAAGTCAACCCATTCCAAACATCCTGCGAGTTGAGATGTCTCCAAACGGTGCCGTCAATATGACGAAATATCAGCAATTGCAGCGCGCTCCCAACTACAGCGAGAAACAAAAACTTTTGTGCCCTAGCTCTGAGCACAAACTGCAACATCACGAAGAAGTTCAACTGCTGAACGTGATGAGAAAATGACATGCGGTTAGAAATCGAGAGCAAGTGATTTCAAGCAACACTTTAGAATTCAAACTTTTCAGTGAAAATGATACCGTACACAGGCAGGCTAACCCTATTGGGATTTGATGATAACAAAAATGTAAAATCAAAGCCGTTCAGTGAAAATAATGCTGTACGCAGGCAGGCTGCGATGGTGGCTTAACCCTTATTGGGATTTGATAAAAACAAAAACGTAAAAAATCAAAGCCAACAAGGACCCGGTTGTGAGGAGGCGCGTAATCGGTTGTCTTGGGTCGACTGCGCGAGCGGACGTTGGACGGAAGACAACGCCGCAAACATGAGAAGAGATCGAGCCGCCTGGATTTCAGGCTCCGTGTAGAACCGGTCCACTTGGTTCAGGGTTACGTTGCACTTGCAGCAGCCGCTCGGAAGGTCATAAGTTGTGACCTGAGATCGCCAGTAAAGCAGGAAACTCGCTTCCTAGACTCACAAACACCGTCGCTCGCAAGCGTACCAGGGCACATAGGCGTCCGTACGCCAGCAGCCCAGAGAGTAGCGATCATGTAGGGCGATGTCCAGCCTTCCCCCAAGCGACATACAGTAAGCTACATGAAGTAGGGTGCATATTTCTTGTTTAGGGTTTAGGGTTTAGGGTTTAGGGTTTAGGGTTTAGGGTTTAGGGTTTAGGGTTTAGGGTTTAGGGTTTAGGGTTTAGGGTTTAGGGACACCCAATATAAAGAACTCACCAAGATTAAGAAGGAACCTTATATTACACTCACCAATAACAGTAATATAAACCCTGCTTCACATAAAGTTGGAACGTAGTCTAAGAGCGACTACTGCTTTGAGTCCTTTGAGAAGCCCTCTTGGGGCATGAGGATAATGACGTTCCAACTTTTGGGAGGATACTGCAACCCTAAACCCTAAACCCTAAACCCTAGGCCCTGAACCCTAAACCCTAAACCCTAAACTTAAACCCTAAACCCTAAATGAGAGGTACCGGATGGTGCCCCGGGGTTGCCGGGGAAGATCTCTTCTCCCACCAAGCGACTTGATGCCACGCTCGTGAGCCTGGCGCCAAACACAGCCGCAGCTATCTAGGAGTTTACGAAATAAGGGACCCCCACATATAAACCCCTCAATAGTCGGAATCCCTTACAATAAGGACCACAACAAGGCACCCCGAACCCTAAACCCAAACCCTAAACCCTAAACCCTAGACCCTAAACCCTAAACCCTAAACTCGGAAACCCCCAGCTCGGAGTCTCGACCCTCTTCGAAGCCTCGAGCATCAAGTCGTCGACCAAGGAGAGGATGCGGTCGTCATAGGAACCCACCTTGTGGGGTTTAGGGTTTAGGGTTTAGGGTTTAGGGTCTAGGGTTTAGGGTCGATGTCGGGGCTTACGCAAATAAGGGGACCCCCTAATATAGAGTCCCCAAATAGCAGGATTCCCTTATCATAAGGACCCCAATAAGGTAACCTAAACCCTCACACCCTAAACCCTAAATTTCGGAAACCCCCCACCTTCTTCGTTTCGATGTCTTCCACGGCCTGTTGCAGTGACCCGCCCACAAGACTCAGACACGGCTAGTGCCTGGCTACGGTAGTTTAGGGTTTCAGGCTTAAGGTTTAGGGTTTAGGGTTTAGGGTTTAGGGTGCGTGCCTGCGAGCCGCTGTACTTGTAGTCCGCCTCCGTCGCGCTGATGAAGATACGGAGAACACGAAGCCCTGCGTCCCTGGGCAGTGCGTGGGGCAGCTTGGGGGAGAACCTTAAACCCTAAACCCGAAACCCGAAACCCTAAACCCTAAACCCGAAACCCGAAACCCTAAATTTGCACTTCCCGGCCTGATTTTGTCAAGGTAGGCTGTGCGGCTGTAAGGACCTGCGCGCGCCACTGGCAGAGAAACTCACTGCACACCCGTCGCCCCGACAGCTACGGAGCCCCTGCCTGAGTTAGGCAGCGCATGTGCAAAGAAGGAGTTCACACCGGCCCAGTTGGGTCCGAGATCTGTACCTGGCAGGTCCAAAGAGGACGAAAGGAAGGGTTTAGGGTTTCGGGTTTAGGGTTTATGCTTTAGGGTTTAGGGTTCGGGTTTAGGGTTCGGGTTTAGGGTTTCGGGCTAGGGTCAGGGTTTAGGGTTTTAGGGTTCAATGCTTAAGGTTTAGGATTCTAAGGTTTAGGGTTCAGGGTTTCGGGTTTAGGGTTTAGGGCTTAGGGTTTAGGGTTTGGGGTTTAGGGTTTAGGGTTTGGGGTTTAGGGCTTAGGGACATCCGGCCTTGTGCAGCCGCCACCAGCGCAGCCAAAAGAACGCAGCGGAGGCTACACATGGCTAGCCACAGCAGCAGGGGGGAGCAAGAGAGGAGGAGTGGAGCACCACTTTAGGGTTTAGGGTTTAGGGTTTAGGGTTTAGGGTTTAGGTTTTAGGGTTTAGGGTTTGGGGTTTAGGGTTTAGGGTTTCGGGTTTAGGGTTTAGGGCTTAGGGTTGGTGTGCCTGGAAGAAGCTGCCGAGTGGAAGCAGACAAGAAGGCAGAGAGTCCCGCAGCTTCGGAAGGTGCACAAGCTATGGAAAAGATGCGAAGAAAGCCCTCCAAAAACGTGGCCTTGAAGGCCACCAGAAAAAAACACAAAATTGGATATCCAGGCAGGCATGCCGGCAGCAGCACACCACGAAGGCGACAACTCAAAAACGTGGCTTCAAGCCCTGATCCACGGCAAGACCGCATCGTCTACAGGCAGAGCAACCTTATATCCTCAACCTTACACCCCACAGGGGTATGTCGCTTTCTCCCAAGCGCTGCGGGTGATCTGGCGACCACTTGCACATGTGTGCATCGGTACGGACGGACACCAAGAGGATAACGGGGCTCCACGTAGGGTTGAGTTTGTGGTTCACTTGCCCCCCTGAGCCTACGCTGTCATCTCGTCTACGTAGTATGCTACTCGAACATCAACTACATGCAGCATACAACCTGTAGTATACCACTCAAGAAAATTCACAGCCTTTTCAGACAGCTAGGAATTAGGTCCAAAGCCTCTTACCCCGTAGTTGCTGGTAGCGGAACAACAGCAAAGGGGCCAGGGTTTGAGGGTTTGGAGGAGCTGCGGTTGGGGGTTTAGGGTGTAGGGTTTAGGGTTCAGGGTTTAGATTGACGATCCTGGGTGGAAGGTCGTGGGGGTTTCTGAATGAAATGGAAACCCATGCGTACATGAAGCCCTTAAAACCGTGCTTGTTCGGGTCCCCCTGACCCAACTCTCCCCAACTTGAAGTATTCGCTCTAAACAAAGAGCCCCCAAGGAGGGACCCAAACTCTGAGAACTTAGCGATGGCCGCCGTCCGAAGGTCGCACGTGAGGGCGTCTCAACACCTAAACACGCAGCCTACCCTGCGAGTTGTCGGTAACACACAGCGTCACAGCGTCTTCTTCGTCTGTGCATATATACTGAGGCACCATCACGTGGAAAAACCCTTCATGCAGCAGTGGGGTGTTTCTGGCAAGCTACTACTTCTTCCGGTTGAAAAACCAGTGACAGGCCTGTACTCCGCCACTGGATATCCAGGCAAACATGCCGGCAGCAGCACACCACGAAGGCGACAACTCAAAAACGTGGCTTCAAGCCCTGATCCACGGGCAAGAACGCATCGTCTACTGCAGGCAGGGCAACCCTGTATCCTCAACCTTACACCCCACAGGGGTATGTCGCTTTGTGCGGGTGATCTGGCGACCACGTGCACATGTGTGCATCGGTACGGACGGACACCAAGATGATAACGGGGCTCCACGTAGGGTTGAGTTTATGGTTCACTTGCCCCCCTGAGCCTACGCTAGCATCTCGTCTACGCAGTATGCTACTCGAACATCAACTACATGCAGCATACAACCTGTAGTATACCACTCAAGAAAATTCACAGCCTTTTCAGACAGCTAGGAATTAGGTCCAAAGCTTCTTACCCCGTAGTTGCTGGTAGCGGAACAACAGCAAAGGGGCCAGGGTTTGAGGGTTTGGAGGAGCTGCGGTTGAGGGTTTAGGGTGTAGGGTTTAGGGTTCAGGGTTTAGATTGACGATCTTGGGTGGAAGGTCGTGGGGGTTTCTGAATGAAATGGAAACCCATGCGTACATGAAACCCTTAAAACCGTGCTTGTTCGGGTCCCCCTGACCCAACTCTCCCCAACTTGAAGTATTCGCTCTAAACAAAGAGCCCCCAAGGAGGGACCCAAACTCTGAGAACTTAGCGATGGCCGCCGTCCGAAGGTCGCACGTGAGGGCGTCTCAACACCTAAACACGCCGCCCTACCCTGCGTCTGTGCATATATGTTGAGGCACCATCACGTGGAAAAACCCTTCATGCAGCAGTTGGGTGTTTCTGCCAGGCTACTACTTCTTCCGGTTGAAAAGCCACTGAGAGGCCTGTAGTCCGCCACTGGACATCCAGGCAAGCATGCCGGCTGCAACACACCATGCAAGTGACGCTGCAACACTATCGTTGCACGCCCGGCGTCCTACAGCGATTCCAGCGATGGTCACTACGAGATACAGCACAAAGAGCAAGAGGGAGACTGCCACGGAGCAGAAAGTGTTCGTTTGTAGCGGGCACCGGTCACAAAGTAGCACGGCAAACCTCGGTTTTCCACACAACCCATGTGAATGTGCAAGTTCTGGCAAGCTTCTGTATCCCATACGGCACTACATCGTGCAGAACAGCATGCTACAGCCGATTAGGCTATGACAGAACTACTACACTGTACTATAAACATGCTGTCTGTTATGCTCCTTGCAAGGAAGGAGGGTCCAAAAAGATAAAGTTCTGCAGTGGTGCAGCAAAGAACAGCAGATGCGGCTCCCAGAATCTAAAACAAGGTATCTCGCTTGGAAGCCCTTTTCACTTAGTGAGTCTACCTAGTTTCATATCCCCATAACCCACCTTACTAACACGAACTTACTAAGTCCAAAGGGCGAATCTGCGTTTTTCGGGGAGTTGCAGAAGACCACCCAAGAATGCGAACCTAAACCCTAAACCCTAAACCCCTAAACCATAAACCCTAAACCCTAAACCCCTAAACCCCTAAACCCCTAAACCCCTAAACCCTAAACCCTAAACCCCTAAACCCCCAAACCCTAAACCCCTCAACCCCTAAACCCCAAACCACCAAAAAAACTCTGACGATTCACGAAGCCGAGGGGCTGTGTAGAAGCGACTCCCCAAAAGGCGAAGAGTCCAAGGCTCTGGCTGAAGGTCCAGGAGAGAATAACATGAACCGGAGCTCCTGCTCGCACTGTTTCGGATCTAGGGTTCAGGGTTCAGGGGTCAGGGTTCAGGGTTTAGGGTTTAGGGTTTAGGGTTTAGGGTTTAGGGTTTAGGGTTTAGGGTTTAGGGTTTAGGGCTTAGGGTTTAGGGTTTAGGGTTTAGGGTTTAGGGTTTAGGGTTTAGGGTTAGGGTTCAGGCGGTTTCGGGGATTTAGGGAGTTCAGCTCATTAGGGCTTGGTGGTTTCGGCGTTTGGGCTTAAGCTTTTACAAGAAAAAGGAGCTCCTGCCCTTACGATGGCCGCCAGAAAATCCATCCCTGTCGCTGTTGTAGTGCCAGGGGAAAAAGGGGCGAGCACAGGGTCTACGGGTCCCTGTAGGGTGCACGGTTCAGACTTTCAGGGTTAAGGTGAAAGGGTATCTGCGACGATGACGCAACGAAGATGTTTTGAGGACTGGATACCGTGGCGTGCCGTTGCCCTTGCTGCTATGAAGCTGCTGTATTGTCCCATCACAACCACTAGACTAGCTTGCGGGATACCCACACGGCCGCTATAACCCAGCCCTACGGACCACTGCGCAATCGAAATCAGACGTCAGGATGGACGTACACATATGCTACTATAGTATCGCAGCAGGTGGCCCAGGCTGATCCACGGGGTCGTGATGAGCACGGCATGGTGCCAGGGGAGGGAGGCGCGAAGGTTGTCGGCCAGCAGCTCGTCACGGAGTGGCCCGCGCACATGCGCGGTGAAAGCGTCGAAGCTGCCTGCTGAGGGTTTAGGGTTTAGGTTAGGGTTTAGGGTTTAGGGATTAGGGTTTAGGGTTTAGGGTTTAAGGTTTAGGGTTTAGGGGTTCAGGGTTTAGGGTTTAGGGTTTAAGGGTTCAGGGTTCAGGGTTTAGGGATCAGGGTTTAGGGTTCAGGGTTTAGGGTTTAGGGTTTGGTGCTTTTTGGGGCGCGCAAGTTGTTGGGGCGCTGAAAGGTAACCAAGCAAGGCTTCCCAAGCCGGAAGCCTGCTAATGCTCAAGATTCTGGTCCCGCTGCGACTCTCTAGCAGTATGATATGAAGTGGGGTATATATTTCTTGTACCCCCAAAAGGACACCCGGTATATCGACTCACAGTAGTATAAACCCTACTTCAATATCCTTGCCTTGTGGACCCCACAAAAACTTGCCCCTGTCATCTAGAAAACCTCCCAATAAGGCCACAAACGATCTCAAACAGGAGACCCGCTCTTTGAAGCTGTATGAAAAAAAAACAGCGCAACAAGCAAAGCTTCAAGAAACATCCAGAAGCCCAAGAACCCCTTCTAGGATCCCATCCTTCTTAGCCCATGAGCGCCCTCGTCCCATTTAGGTTAGGGTTTAGGGCCACAAGGGTTTAAGGTTTAGGGCTTTGGGGTTCAGGGGTTAGGGTTTGGGATTTAGGGTTTAGGGTTTAGGATTTAGGGTTTAGGGTTTAGGGTTTAGGGTCTAGGCTTCTATCCGAGATCCGAAGCCGAGCCGCCGTACCACTCTTGGATGGCGGCGTAGATGAAGTCCTGATCCGAGGCCAGTCGGCAACTTGCGTCCGCCAGCTCGAAGGTTGCCAGGGCATCGAAGACCTGTCCAAGCTCAGGGTTTAAGGTTTAGGGTTTAGGGTTTAGGGGTTTAGGGTTTAGGGTTTAGGGTTTAGGGTTTAGGGTTTAGGGTTTAGGGTTTAGGGTTTAGGGTTTAGGGTTTAGAAAAACAGCCCCCAGTCAGAAAAACCCGCACGAAACCCGAAACTCTAAACCTTTTCCACTTTCCGACTCGCATCTCCCTGATGTCTGACTCGGGGTGTGTGCTTCTTTCCGACTCGTCTTCGGGAACCGGTCTTAAGGTATAGAATCATGCAGAGATGAAGAGGAAAGTGTAGTATAGTGTGGAATCGCGTGGTGTAGAAGTAGAGGCAGTAGAGGTGTAAAATGGTATAGTGTAGTTTTGCGCAGTGCGGTATGATGGTAAGGTGTAAGTAGGTTAGCATGGTATGTTCACGCTTCCAGATTCTCAGTTCTACTGAAGTCGACAGAATACGGCAACACATAAGCGAGGATAAGCGACCAAGCCGAGGATAACCAGGATAACAGGATCTTCAGGGGGGTCAGGGTTTGGGGTTGAGGGTTCAGGGTTTCCAGGGTTTAGGGTTTAGTAGGGTTTAGTAGGGGTTAGGGTTTAGGGTGTAGGGTTCAAAGCCTCAGAAGCGACTTGGCGGAAGAGCCACCACTCAATAGCTCTGGGCACGCCCCAGCAATTCCAGCTAGCTACGAAACCAAGGGCTGCAAGGTCACAATACGACCCAAGATACCCAAAACCCTATACCCTAGCCCCTAGCACCCTACTACCCCAATACCCCAATCCCCCAGTACACTAGTGCCCGAATACCCTAATACCCTAATACCCTCATGCCCGAATACCTTCTAACCCCTCAAACCCCCCCACATTGCCCGGACCTGGCTTGGCCCTCCCGAGGTTGAAAGCCACACCTGGCGCTTCTTTGCGAGGTTCCTCCGGAGGGCGTGCATTACTCCGGCGAGAGGGGCAAAGGCCAAGACCAGAAGAAGCGTGCCGCCTCACTTGCGCACACAACTCAGGACACAAAGCCCTAAAACACAAGCACTCGGCCCCCCAAATCCAAAAAACCCTACCCCAAACCCTAAACCCCAACCTGAGCCCCAAACCCCAAACCCCAAACCCCAAACCCTAAACCCTAAACCCTAAACCTCCCAAGAGAGCGGAGTTGCGAAATCGGACGGCGGCGAACCAGACGTAGAGGCCCGTGGCCACCGCGCCACCGAGCCAGAGGATGGCGACACCGAGCTCCACGAACCTGAGAGAATATGAATCTGAGGGTCTGGGGTTTAGGGTTTAGGGTTTAGGGTTTAGGGTTTAGGGTTTAGGGTTTAGGGTTGAGGGTTTAGGGTTAGGGTTTCGTACATTAGGGCTCAGGGTGCAGGACTTAGGATTGAGGGTGTAGTCTCCATGAAGCGTTAAGGAGGTTTGTGCAATTTGGAAAGCTGGACTTTGATTCATGATGCTGGTTGCCAACTGTATCTGGCATCTGGCGCACACTTCGGTGGATTAACGCACTACAACTAGTATACTGCAGCAGCTGTAGTCTACAAATCAAATGTATAGCTACGTGCTTTCTAGAGGTGTTGAGGGATGATACTGCTTGAAATCTTGACGAGGGCTTGGACACTTGTGTTGTCAGCGGCTGCCTTTGTCATTGATTTCGCACTGGCTGCAAGCGCCTTAACACATGAATACATTCATCTGTCCCCACCCCCCCCCCCCGCCCCCGCACTGTATCCAAAATGAAAAGGATTAGTTGCTATGCTCCCTAAACCCTAAACCCTAAACCCTAAACCCTAAACCCTAAACCCTTTCAGCATACCCCTACATGTCCCCACAAGTGCTGGCCAGAGGAGCAGAGGGGCGAAGCGGATCCTGCCGGGTGAGGGCTGCCCAGAAGCCTAGGAGGGCCTATAATATGCTCTAAAGCCATCAACCCAAAACAGACAAGCCTGAACCCTAAACCCTAAACCCTAAACCCTAAACCCTAAACCCTAAACCCTAAACCATACAAGTCTGAACTGGAAGCCGGATAGCCCAGCGCTCCCTGATTCTTTGAAGCTTCAAGGTTTGGGGCCGTCGGCCTCTATTTGGGTTCTGCGGGCTTGCAGTATTTAAGGCATATGATGTTGGGGTTCTTTAGCTTTGGTCATACTTGCTGGGTTAACATGAGGCATGTCTGACGGTGATGTAACAAGGGGCTCCATCTTAGAGTATGCTCGTATACCCGGCACACTTCGGGAGCTAACGATTCAGGACGCTCGACAACCCTAGACCCTGTTGTACTGTCGCAGGTGTTGAAAATTTCGTCTGCAAGACTGGGAGTCTGGTCGCCAATGCCAGAATCCCGACACAGGGGTCTCGCGATCTTAGCCAAAACGTGCTTAACCCTTACAGTCACAAGAATCCATCGCGCTGAGGACCGCTTGCAATCAAAGCTGGGCCACTCTTCGTTCCCTAACCCCCTAAACCCTAAACCCTAAACCCTAAACCCTGAACCCTAAACCCAAAACCCTAAACCCCAAAACCCTAAACCCCAAAACCCTAAACCCCAAAACCCTAAACCCTATCCCTCTCTTTTCGCCTGCCATCGCTAAGTTCTGTGTCAGCGCCGAGAGGGCGCAGGCTCTGGTGGCCAAGTAACTACGGGCAACCCAAGAGGGGACGACGGGCCTAAACCGAAAGAACCCTAAGGGATTGGGGAGTTGCGAGGCCATCAAAGTACTATCGGGCGGCAGTGGGTGGGCCCAGAACGCTGCGCTTGAAGTAGCGAAGGATTTACTCAATCAAGGGATATATTGCATCCCTCTCTTTTCGCCTGCCATCGCTAAGTTCTGTGTCAGCGCCGAGAGGGCGCAGGCTCTGGTGGCCAAGTAACTACGGGCAACCCAAGAGGGGACGACGGGCCTAAACCGAAAGAACCCTAAGGGATTGGGGAGTTGCGAGGCCATCAAAGTACTATCCACTCTCAGGGTCCTTGGGCTTGACCCACTTGATTTGAGGCTATGGACAGAAGGAGCAGCGGTCGAGCATAGCGACGTAGAACGCTAATGCGGTCCCGCGCCCAACGTGGGAGTTCCTGCAAAAGGAGTTGTGCACCAACCTCCTGTAGATAAAACTCGACTGTTTTTATTTTGGCCCATCGTCCTCTCCATGCGACAAGACTAATGTCTTCGGTCTCGAGATATAGGAAAGTCGCACCGCTCCCTCTGAGCACGCCTGGGGTGGCACCCTTCTGTGAAAGGGTGTGAGGCACTCCCAGGCGCTGCATGATGGCGTTCCACTGAGTCCTGTACATGTGCATAGAGCCTCTGAAGAGTTTGGCATCCAAAGGGAGATGCTCGTACTGAGATATCAAGAATCGAAGTGTTAAGGGGTCCTCCAAGCGGCAGTGCTGTCTGCGCGCGAACCGTTGCGTTTTGGGATTACGCAGGTGCACGTAGGCTAGCATATCTGTAGACATGGCATCGGAAGGAAGGACTAGATCCCGGCGTGTGAGTGGGATCATTTCAGCGGGATGCAACATGCAGAGGAAACCAATGAGAGTCAGGCAAGCCCAGTCATTCCAGCCCCAGCAAAGGGCAAGTGTTACTGCCGCTTGCACTATGGGCTGGGAGATGACCGGACGACATTCGCCTGGTTCCGCTGCTTGCCATTTTTTATCCACTTGCCACGCAGGCGTTAGCTGATTTCGGTGTTGGGGATGAAGATCCTGCACTGCCGTGATGGCATACACATAGAGATACCTCGGGTATCCTGCCGAATACAGATGCAAGCCATAAGCACGCAAAGCGAGCGCTGCAGATTGTGACGCCGACATAACAGCAGCGAACTGAAGACACATCTCAGTCTCAAGCCAAACCACGAATGCCTCAAGGGCCTTCCGCATCTTGTGCTTGGTCGAGGTCGCGAAGCCTGACTCTAAGTCGAGAGGGCCTCTTGGCCGGAGCCTGCTGGAAGGACCTGGATTCCTCTCGATGTCGCCAGCAACAAGCAAAAGAAGACGCAGCCAGCGGCCTGCGACACGGGGGACGTGTGAGGCTGCAAGGCACAAGTCGAACAAGTAGGTGTCACCTTTGGCTAAAGCTTCAAGCCAGAGCGGGCGCTCCTTCGTCGGAGGAGCAACACTGGTGTTGCGAGAGGGCCCGTCGCTCCGATTGTGCGCAGAGTACACATGCAACCCCCCGGGATACAAACCGGATCCGAGCACGTAGGGGAGTGCGGACTGGAGGATGTGACAAAGTGCAGGGCTTGAAGAACGGCCTTTCGAGGCGGCGCCTAGCAACACCCGGCTATCGATCAGACCCAAAAGCCTACTATTGGGGTGCCGAGTGGAGCACCACTTCAGCCAAGTCTTGTAGGACCTTGTCTCCAAGATGTTGATGTGATTCTCGCCCCCGAAACGGTAGCGTAGGAGCTCCTTGAACTCCAGGCTGTCAGCTAGCTCACCGACCCACTCGGGATCTTCATAGAAGGGACGTGGCTCTGGCTTTAAACCTTCACTAGGGTCGCAAGGGGGCAAGGGACCTAAACCACCTAAAGTCAAGGTGTTAAGGGTAGCATGTCTTGCGGACAAAGGAAGGACCGGGACTTGGCCCAACTTGGACTGCAAGCTGCCTGATGCCATGCGGCGCACCAGTGATAAGGGATACATCGCAGAGAAGGCCGAGACACTTTCACCAACCCGAGGAGTGCGGCCGAACACAGCCTCTGGAGTTGGCCTGCAAAGCTTGCTGAACTCGGCAACACGCGCAGCAGTGAAAGTGCCCTCGACTATGAAATGCCTAGAACCCTTACCGCAGTTGCAGGGGCCACTCAACTGAAGAAGCCAAGGTTTGTTTGTGAGCCACTGGTGAGGCTTCTTGAAAGGCGCACCAAAGCTGCAGGCACAGAACCTCACTAACACCGACCCCAAGACCGCTAGCCTCACAAAACACTGCATATAAAACATGACACTCGAGCCCGGTTGCGCGACGCTGTAAAAGCCCCCAAGAGAGGCGATCACGGACATGAGAAAGGCTGTGCGCATGGCTAATTGGTTATGGGCATAGGTTAGGGGTTCCTTGGGGTTGAAGCCCGCAGGTTGGATTTTAGAGCGGAGGCGCGGACGCCTGAGCGTGCCGTAAGTTAGACATGGCGGCGCAGCATGCCACTCGCGAACCACCTTCCGGAGCGCGAGGCTAAGAAGCTCATGGAGCACATTGTTGGAACTAACATCCATGAAGCGCAAGACGCGCCCGGACACATCAACACCTGGATGCACAGAGAGACCCGCCTGGGAGTGAGCATAGCTCCAGTTCGAGCAACCAGCAAAAAGTTCCACGCAGTCAAAGAGCACGCCCTCTTGCAGCGAAGCGTGCAAGGGAAAGACACTGGGCACGGAGGCGGTGGCACGGTCGCCGAAGACAGGTTCAGCATCAACATCCATGGTTTCCAGGAGCGCAGAGGCAGGACCAAGCAGTTTGGTGTAATGACCCCGTTGCTCGCAATGTCGCCAGAGTTCAGAAGCCACCCCTGGAGGCAGCGGAGCCGAAACAAGTCCCGCGCCGTTGGGCGACGCGTCCATGGCAAAGAGGGAGTCCACGTACTTGGCACGAAGGTCAGCAACGAAGGTGGGAGCCAACACGCACATTGCCATGAGCTCATTGACTGAGGCGCGGCTAAGAGGGTAGACCTTGTGCCTAGGTTCACGCCTAGCATCGGCAAAGCAGCTTTGCAAAAGGGCCAGCACCGGTCGCCGGAAGAGTGCCACATGTATCCACAACCCCAACAGAGAGGACAGCAGGGAAGCGGACGCACAGGCTCGCTGCACGACAATGGCTGTGATAACCATAAGCACTAAAACCCTATGCCTAGGAGCACCTACTAAACCCAAAATGCCATCGACTTCGGCTCCAAGGAAAGTCCCCGAAGTTACGTTCCTCTGACGTTTCCGAGGGTGTTGCACAAGGCCGACGGTCTGGTAGGCCACCTCTGCAGCGCTGAAGATGGCTGTGTCACGGGCAGGCGTGCTGAGAGAATGGGTCTTCTTGCAGAGCACCGAGGCTGTGAAATGATCATCGATTGCAAGGAACTCCCACACTGGCGATCGCGGAAGCGGAGAACGGTAGGACACCCGTTCATGGGGGAGCATGCAGTGCGCAAGTTCATTTAAGACATTAAAGTGGGCCTGTTGGGCGCATTCCACAGCCATGCTGTCTCCCATTGCTAAAGCCCCTAGGGCTAAAAAGTAGAAATCACTGCTGGGGGCATTTTGGAAGCACTTCAAATGCTTGACCTCATGCTTTGCAAATTTCATCCTGATACTATTTCTCTTTGCTCGACTGAAACTGACCTTGAAAGTATAATACATCTCGGACAAATCATCGGCACAGAAGCGCATGAAGTGATTCTCATCAGGAATGTTTGCTAAAGTCAAGAGACACCCCGGAGCTAGTGACTTCGTAAAATTAGCGTAGGGCTTAGTCCTAGAGTTAATGACAGTGGGGTTTAGAATGAGTCTGTCGAACTCCGAATCCTTGGGAATGCAAAAGCAACCACAAGCCTCATGCTCATCAACGAGCCCCACTGGAATCAACTGAAGGGCCTCGAAGGAATCCCATTTGGCAGCCAGGGCTAGCAACTCGTGACGATCAGCATGCACTCTTGCTGCAGGCAGCTTCGGCCACTCATCAGGCGCAGCCCGCAATGTGTCGGGTTCGATGTACGTGGCTTTGACCACAGGATCGCTCAAGAAGGGCACTGGGTCAAATGAAGGAGGCAAAGTCCATTTAACCCTTTCGGCTAGGACAGGTTTGCAAGCCAGTCCCGAATCAACACGGCAGTTACCGAGGTCGGCTAATTTTTCTCCCGGGCTCACCAAGTCAGATTTGGGCTCGAAAGGCGACGTTGCCCTCTTTAGTGGGGCCCCTATGTGACTTTTAGCAGAGTTTGCTACGGGGCTTGTCAAGGGAGGGCCAGATTGGCCAAACCGAGGGTTCCCCGAGATCCCACTAGGAGAGATGGTGTGGTCATGTTGACATGCTGGGTTTGGAGGGGTTCCTAAATTAGGAGAGGAACCTTTAGGGAATCGGGGCCCGGAGCCTGCGTAAGATCCCCAAGACTCATGCAGCGAGGAAACTAATTGACCCACCAAGTCGTTAAAGCCATTCGGGCCCTCAACCTCAACTGTGCGCAAGCGAGTCGCTAAACCTAAAAGGTCATCAAATTTTTCGGCAGAACGGCCCAAGGACGATGCGGACAATGGCTCGGCTGAGACAAAATGGGCGGTCAACCGCTCCAGGGTCTCCAAAGCTGAGTGCTGAGCTGACGTCCAGGCATAGGCGCCAGCTTTAGCATGAGGGGGGGGCTTAGTCGGACAACCAAGGGACAACCAATTGAGGGTGCAAACTTGGAGGCGAACTAATTCCCGAACTAGGGCTAATTTACGAAGGCGGCGGCGGCGCCTTGGTCCTGGCCGGGTTTCATATGCAGAGGCGGTCCATCGGCCACGCGGCGGAGGCGGGACCGGCCATATCTCGCTGGCTCGGTTTCGAGCCTGCTGTCCAGCGCAGGCGGGGGGCCCTAAGGACAGGTAAGTGAACGAACCAAGCCCAATCCTAGGGGACCCCAAAATACCTAAAAAACTACCAACCCAATGCAAGAAGTCTAAAGGCTTATCAGGCAGGGATTTGGGTTCAGCTCCGAGCGCAGGAAGGGGGTTAGTAAAGGCATCATCCCTTGACGGTCCCAGAACTACGGCCCCCCTGGAAGCAGCAACTGGAGCACACGGAGCAAAAGATCTCGAATTCAAGTCAGCCGGCTGGCTAGCTTTAGGCACGCTTGGTTCCACCGCACCGGCCTCACATGCATTTGCGTTGTGCTCTAGGTCGAGCCTTCGGTGCCCCCTCTGGGATTGCGGGGCGGCCGCCTCGGGGGCTTCTTGGCACCTGGCGTTGCTTCGTCCGTTCTTTGCTCTTTGGCGCCGGTGAAGGGGGTTCTCGAGTCGGAGGCCCCCGGGTCGAAAGTTGCTGGGCCCGCGGTGAGGCGATTCTGCACCCACTCCATCTCTTTCAGATACGCTACATTTGCTGTGATCCAGGTACTTGGGCATAGCTGAGCGAATGGTCGTACCCCGCTTCGGCGGCGGGCCAAAGCGGAATAATTGGGCTCTGGGAGCCCCGTTAATAGCCACGAGAGCTGCGTTCGACCTTGCTCCACAGCAGTTTGTTCCAGGAACAGCAGTAGTCTGGACATCCAAGCTTCGAGCGCTACATTCTGCGTCTCTCGACCCACCTGCCAAGCATGAGCTGCCATGCGAGCTACCAAAGTGACCAATTTGAGGTCTGCTGACGGTAGCTTCTTCTCTGCGAACTGCCTCATCAAATTCGAAGGGGGATGCTCCACGTCCAGGCCTAGGGACTCGGCACCAAGACGACGGATAGCGTTGGCAACAGTCTGGTCGTCCGTCAGGAGGCGGGTGAAAGCGTCTCGAGCGGCTGAACCACGCCCTCCGAGGCCTGTGTCCTCCTTTGCACCAGATAGGGCTGAGCTGATCGGGTCCTTCTCCTTTGACTGGGCAAGTTGAGTGAGCAACTGAGTCTGAGCTAACAACAGTCGGTGCAGAGCCATGGTAGAAGGCGGCGACCCAAGCGCGTCTTCGGTGGCTCCCAACTCTAGCTCTGCAAGCAGATTGTCGGAGACATGGGAGGCCTCGGCTCGAGGGGCGCGCTCGTGACGTGCAAGGTGTGGTGGCGCAGCACCGGCAGCAGCTCGAAGAGCGGCCCAGGCTGAGGCGTCCAGTGTTGGCAAAGCAGCTCCAGGACCGGGATCGGGAAAGAGGTCTCGGGCACCACGTCGGGCTGGCTCCTGAGGAACCACAGCAGGATGTCGCGCATTGGCTTGCTCGAGCTCGCGGATGCGAGCTTGTAGCTGGGAAACCTGGTCGACCACTTGCTCGCCTTCGGCACCTGCAGCTCTTTCGTCTGCCTCGTCCTCCCCATCTCCAAGTTGGCTCTCGGCCGTGAGGTACTCTGCTAGCTCGGCAGCTGGTGGGGCGGCTTCGCCAGAAGTAGCTCCTCGGATCCAGATGTCGGCGGCCTGATGTGCTGTCTCGGAGATGGGACGAACCACCTGGCCATCTGGCCCTGTCATAGCCACAGTGGGTAGCAGTTGAGCGCCTGCAGCTCGAGAAGTGGCTCGGCGGAACAAGTGCAGAGAGGCCCAGGATGCGTCCACGATGAAGGCTCCAACCGGGCCGACTGACCGCCGCCTGGGGGTCTCGGCAGGCAAGTCCGCTTCGGTGTACAGCAGTGGAGTAGGTGACCCCTCGTCTGCGAGAACTGCCAACTGTTCGGCAACCTGATCGTCGGCTGGTAGAATGGCCAAGAAACCTCCTGCACGGTGTCGAAGCAGAAAAGCAGTAGCCCGCCAAGCCGGCGGCTCCGTGGTGTCCAGGAAGTAGACGAAAGGGAGAGGTCGCTCCCCAACAGTGGCATCTACCAAGCGGCGGATCTCCGCCGCATTCAAAGCACGGGCGGCCATCGTACGCCAGAGGCGCTGGCAAGGACGATGGCTTCAGTCTTGCTCGCGAAGGTGTGGGACACACTGCCCACCTCCAAGAGGACGTTACGCCTGCAGTGTCGGGTGCCTGCTTCTCTGAATCCTCCGAAGTCGCTCATGCACGATACTCACGAAGTCGCTGTAGCTGCCCCTGCGCCAACTGAGGCCCCAAAGCAGGGATGTCCAGGAAATTGGCTACCCAGCGCAGGATATAGCCCAAGATCCGCCGACAAGAAGCAGAGAACAAGATGGCAGCGGAAAGAGCCCCACAAACGTAGCTGCAGCAGCAGATCAAGATGGCGGCGAGGAGGAGCCAAGGAAGGGAGGGACAAGTTGAACTGCCCCAGAAGCGAATCTCCCGGAGTAGCTCAGGGGCAACTGACCACATTGACCCAGAACGCTGCGCTTGAAGTAGCGAAGGATTTACTCAATCAAGGGATATATTGCAAACCCTAAACCCTAAACCCTAAACCCAAACCCCAGGTAAGGCGGTCCTGCCGGCCGGATTGGCCTTACGAAAAGCAGCCAATTCGAAAATGCACCACAGCCTCTGGCTCCAAGGGTTCAGGGTTCAGGGTTTAGGGTTTAGGGTTTAGGGTTTAGGGTTTAGGGTCTAATACAGCCAAAAAAAGGCTGCAAACAAACCTCACCCCAGGACTCCGCACCCTGGAAGCTGGCCTGAACACGTTGACATCCGTGCCATTCCGAAGGCACCCCCCTTCCAGAACCACCCCCCTAACGCCTCAAGCCCCCTCAAATATCCGGGACACTCCTCTGGGACCCGCCCGGGATCTCTGGCCTGAACCGCGCCTGAGACCCACTCGAACCCTGAATGAAAAAACGCCCTGCTCCCGAAAACGCTCCGACCCCTTGCAGGTGGTTTCAATCTTGGAGGCATTCATGATGGGACTTGAGGGCTAAACCCTCAAAAGCAATGGTTTGGGGTACGGCGGGTGAGAAACAAGAACCTACCACCAATGAAATCTGTTGCCACTGTCATTTACTGCCGCTGAACGGCTTGAAGTAGGCCGAGGGGTTCAAAGGCTCAGGACTCAGACGCGCTACGGTGCAATACTCTGCACGACTTTACTACACCATACTAGGCTTCAGGGTTTCGGGTTTAGGCTTTAGCCTTTGTAAGATTTGGGGTTTAGGGCTTAAGGTTTAGGGTTTAGGATTTGGGCCTAGGATTCAAGGTGTAAGGCTTAGGACTCAGGGCTTAGGGCTCAGGGTTCACGATGGCACTAATACAGAGGTATAGCAGTACACTTTGCGACTTGTACTGTAGACGCAAGCTGATGCCAAGTGGCCTGGAGAGATAGGGCGCGGAATAGAGGATCCGCATTTCCTTGCAGCACAACAGTACATTTGCCAGCTTTGCTTCGCACACCTGCACCTAAACAACAACAAAACAAGCTAAACCCTGTAGGATTTAAGTTAGGGCCCAAGACCCCCATAAACTGTAAACCCTGACCCTAAACCCTAAACCCTAAACCCTTGAAAATGACTCCTGTTGGAGCACATGCTCGCTGAAGCGGTTGGCATGTGCAAGCCCGACGTGGCTGTAAACCCTAAACCGCCTAAACCCTAAACCCTAAACCCTAAACCCTGAGAAGGAGACAAAGCTACGGAATCGGATAGTTCAGCTCAGCTTGTGGGCCCTGTCCCGCAGGCTATGAGCCCAAACGCGGCTCGAGGAGGTCTGCTGGATGGAGAAGCAGCTGGTCAAGACTATACGGGGCTGTCACAACGGTCGACTGGGCAGCCTGATGTAGGGTCCACCATGAGGCATGACCGGCCACAGCTGTAAGTGCGAGGATCCGGAAGCTTGGCAACGCCAGGGATCAATGCGGCCGAACTCACGCGACCCAGCGCCCATAACCGAACGTGTTTGGGGGTTAGGGCTTAGGGCTGAGGAACCCTGAAGGATGAACACTGAACTCTAGGAACAAAACGGTGCCACTGAAACCTCGCCGCTTTGGAGGCAGCCAGGAAGCCACCCAGTCCTCATCTTGGTTCGGAAAGGGCATTGGGTTTGCCGGGTTTGGGCAGGTAATCCCAGATACTTTATGCGTGGGACTGCCAGTTTGTTGCCTTGCTCTGACGAAAGAATATAGCCAAACAGCTTATAACTGCAAGGCGTAGAGGGTCACGCAGACGTACCTATGCCTGACCCCAAACCTAGAAAGAAGACACAAGAAAAAACGGCAGCTTTTCTTAGAGAGACCCAGGAGTCCATAGATTCCTTCTTGCATCATCCTGTGATCGACTTGGTTGATGCTGACGACATCGAGGAAGCAGGATTGCTGATGGCCTCCCAAGTCTGGAAGGTAGGGAGAAGCGAAGAACGCCAAGACGGAGATGGGCATGGCCACCAAGACGCCCAGGCCGCTGATCCTTGGCTACACTCAGAAGGGTAGCTAAAAATTAAGATTTTAGCTGCCTTACTAAGAAACCCAAAAAAACAACAAAAAAAGTCTAAGGATCTAAAGTTACAGAATAAAGTACCACAAAGGATCGGGCACTTCTCGTCGAAGCCTTGGATGTTAAAGTTGGCAAGGGCGAGCGCGGAAGTGAGGTCGAGGCAGCTGAGGAGCTCCACAAGGGCAAGCACGAGGAGCCAGGTGAGTAGAACACGGGCCCAGCCGTCTTGAAAGGACAGGGAAAGGTACCTCGGCTTGGTCGTTAGAGTTCAGGGTTGAGGGTTTGGGTTTGGGGTTCAGACTTCAGGGCAGTTGAGGGTACTGTATACAAATATAGCATACACACGGTACAACCAAGCAGGCTATGTCGTTGACAGTAGAAGACTCCTTTTTGGGCGGCTAAACATTCAGAAGCCGGAGATCAGATCAATAACAAAAATCTGGCTTCCCTCGAAGCAGCTAACAAAAGGACGTCTTGACCACACAGCCTTACACCCGGCCCCCAAACCTAAACCAACACCCTAAACCCCAAAGCTCTAAACTACTGTGAGACCCGCAACAGCAGGAGAGCCTCCTTCGGCGTTGACAGCCCAAACCCCAATGCTATTCAGAGTTTTAGGGCTGAGGGCTTACGGGCTTAGGTTACATGTTTTGGATTCGGGCTGGTTGTCAGGCATAGGGATTGAATGTAGATCTTGGCTGCTTCCAATGTCCTTTGGTAGCCCATGTGTGCGACAGGAAAACGTCGAAGCATTCGACCTAGCAAAAGGGTTGGAGGTGCTGTGATCGCAAGCCTAGCAACCAAAAAAAACCAACTACCTAACCTCAAACTCAAACGTGCGGCACAAAAACAAGCAGATACACTACCCGCAACCCATCTGCGGTTCGCAGAAGTGGTACTTGCAGAGAAGAGAATCACTTAATCAGAGCCTAGCATGCTATGGCACTAGAGTCTACATCGTAAACCCTCAACTCCAAACCCTGAAGCCTCGCTCTTGGCTCAGCAGGAGCTGGAGGATGAGGAAACAGCAGGAAGAACAAAGAACAGCAGCAGAAAAGTGGTCGTCTGCAGTTCAAGAGCGAACGAACTACGACTACAGTCATCCCATCTAAACCTACATGACCGAGCACTACGAATCGTGTGACATGGCCTTCTTTCAGATCAAACTCTGCGAAACGAGCCCAAAAGCAAAATTCAACACTCCAAAAGGGTTTAGGGTTTAGGGTTTCGGGTTTAGGGTTTGGGTTTAGGGTTTCGGGTTTGGCGTTGAGGGTTTCGGGTTTTGGGTTCCGGGTGTAGGTTTAGGGTTTCGGGTTTCCAAGCCTGTCGTGAACGCATCCAGAGTCGAGCCCTCTCCTCGGGGACGGCAAGACTGTGAATGATGCACCCGCAAAACTTGGAAGGTCCATGGAGTTGGGAAGATTTAGGATTTAGGGTTAAGGGTTTGGGGTTTGGGGTTTGAGGTTTTGGGGTTTGGGGTTTGGGGTTTGGGGTTCGGGGTTTGGGGTTTGGGGTTTGGTTTGGGGTTTGGGGTTTGGGGTTTGGGGTTTGGGGTTTGTGGTTTGGGGTTTGGGGTTTGGGGTTTGGGGTTTGGGGTTTGGGGTTTGGGGTTTGGGGTTTGGGGTTTGGGGTTTGGGGTTTGGGGTTTGGGGTTTGGGGTTTGGGCCTTCTCGTTTGGCAATTTCTTGGGGCCTCGGCTGTTGTGGACTTTCGTTCCGACTTGTTTCGTGCCCGAAGAAAATGTAGCCTTCGAGTCAGGATTGGAAGATGAAGCATCCCTAAACCCTAAACCCTAAACCCTAAACATCCCTAAACCATGCGACATCACGGCTCCAAGACCGATCTTCTCTCCTTAAGATTTTTGGGTTTAGGGTTTGGGGTTTAGGGTCTCGGGTCTAGGGTTTAGCGTTAAGGTTTAGGGTTTAGGCTTTGGGGTTAAGGGTTAAGGGTTAAGGGTTAAGGGTTGAGGGTTGAGGGTTAAGGGTTAAGGGTTAAGGGTTACGGGTTACGGCTTAAGGGTTAAGGGTTAAGGGTTAAGGGTTAAGGGTTAGGGGTTAAGGGTCAAGGGTCAAGGGTTAAGGGTTTAGGGAGAACCCTGAACCCTAAACCATACCCGCGTCCTAGAATTCTTTCTTTTGTCCCGAAGCACCCCGGAAATCTGGGCCGAAAACTAACTTCGGGCTAAAGCATTGAAGCTTTAAGCTTTGGAGCATAAGACCTTTTAGGCTGTTTAGGGTTTAATGTTTAGGTTATAGGCTTTTTGGAGCTTTGGGTTTTGAAAGGTAAACCTCTTTAGAATGAGGTACTCAAAACCGAACCTTGGAAGGGGTGTTGCCACACGGAAAAGCTGGATTCGCAAAGGGGTCTGTGAGGATCGGCCCCTAAAACACCGTGTACCCTGCTAAGACCTTTATGTTCTTTAACCTCAGACTAGTCCAGCTGCGCTCGCTCGGGGATTCCAAGCAGAAATATCTCTAAGCCCCGACAAAGGAAAGCCCTAAAACCCCCAACCCCCGAGCTCCTTCTCTGACAAATCCAAGGGGGATTTGCGCCAGAGCCGGCCGGCACGCCACAGAGATTCCTTTATAGAAATGCCTCCAGGGCCAGGGCCACTCCAAAACTTGTTGAGGGTCAAGCCCAAAGCAAACCCAAGAGCTTTGAAGGGTTTAGGGCTGAGAGGTTCGGGCTTAGGGTTCGGGTTTAGGGTTTAGGGTGGAAAATCCTCAACCCGTCTTTGCCGTGCCTCGCATCAACTCGACACTGCTCAGACTGAGGATCTTGCTTACCCGAGGACGTAGGCTCTCCATGGATTCTATTGAAACCTCCCTTCCCAGGCAGGAGGCTTGGGCCGCCTCAGTGGGTGAAGGCGTCTCACCAAAGTCCGCTGTGACTGCTTCAACATCCTCTTCCGGACCTTCCTTACTTCTCCAATAACCAAGGGGAAAAAAGGTTAAACTTTAATATTCCTGCTAAAAAAGGAAACCCAAAAAGTTTAAAGTTCAGCTAAAGGCGGAAGTAAGCTTCTGCTTCACCACATGCACAGCTGGCACTGGCCATGGGGTGGACCTATGGCACAACCAGCCCGCCTGGAGCCAAAGAAGCTGCCAACGACGCTCCACTGGGACGACTTTGGGATCTCATATGCGATTTCATGGAACTTGCTTGCCTATCTGCAACAAACGAGTCGGGGGCTTCCGGGGTTCCAGGAGTTATGGTGCAGGGTGGGGCACGGGCCCGGGGACCACAACCAAGAGACTGAGGGGCTTCAGGGTGGCCCCCTTACAGTAGGGCCGGGCATGGTGCGGGACTTCCTGGAAGCAATCCGGAGGACAGTAAGTGCCCCGCCCGCCCCCGAACCCGAACCCGAACCCGAACCCGAACCCCGCAGGTCTCAACCGCCACATCACCAGGGCGCAGCAGCCGCGCCGCGCCGCTGTGTTCTATCGTGCCCAGCAAAGTTTCGTGCGCGAAACTGGCTTCCGACCCAGGCTTGCTGCAGCACTTCGCTCGGCGAAATGCCTAAAGAACAAAAGCATTTCCTCGAAATGAAGTACGACGATGAGATGGCTGAGCAAGTTGCTCGACCTCAGGAAAGGACTCGGACTTGCATGGTCAAAAACAGTTTTTCAACTAGATCGGTGAGATCCAAGCTGCAAAACTCATGCGCCCTTAATCCCAACCAAACCTTCCGGCAATCAGGGCGGTTCTATCCTAAAAGAGGTGACGAGCTCCAGGGCAGCAGGAATGAGAGCACCGCTTTTGGTAACAGGATTCCCAACATTCCGCAGTCCGATGCCATCTCTTCGATCCTAGTAACCTGAGTCTTCTGCTGCAAGATCGAAGGCGGTTTCGCCAGCTTCCTGGGGCTGGGCGCCGGCCTTCAACAACGCCTCGACCACCTGCAGGTGGCCCCACAGTGTGGCGAGCCTGAGGGCTGTGAGGCCATACTGATCGCGGGCCTCCAGCTGGGCCCCGGCCTCCACCAACGCCTCGACCACCTGCAGGTGGTCGTGCCCTGCAGCGTAGCCGAGCGCTGTGAAGCCAGTGTCAGCGTGGGCCTCCAGCTGGGCCCCGGCCTCCACCAACGCCTCGACCACCTTCGTGTGACCGCTTTCTGCGGCAGAGATGAGTGCTGTGAAGCTAGTATTTGTGCGGGCCTCCAGCTGGGCTCTGGCCTCCACCAGTGCCTCGACCACCTTCGTGTGGCCGCTGTCTGCAGCAGAGATGAGGGCTGTGAAGCCCGCGTCACTGTGGGCCTCTAGCTGGGCTCCGGCCTCCAGCAACGCCTCGACCACCTTCGTGTGGCCGCTGTCTGCAGCAGAGATGAGGGCGGTGCTGCCAGCGTCAGTATGGGCCTCCAGCTGGGCTCCGGCCCCCACCAACACCTCGACGACCTTCGGCTGGCCATGCTTTGCAGCACGGATGAGAGCTGTGTAGCCATACTTATCGCGGGCCTCCAGCTGGGCTCTGGCCTCCACCAACACCTCGACGACCTTCGGCTGGCCCTTCTCTGCAGCAGAGATGAGGGCTGTGGAGCCAGTATCTGTGCGGGCCTCCAGCTGGGCTCTGGCCTCCACCAACGCCTCGACCACCTTCGTGCGGCCGCTGTCTGCAGCAGAGATGAGGGCTGTGCCGCCAAACTTATTGTGGGCCTCCACCTCAGCTCCGGCTTTCAACAAAGCCTCGACCACCTGCAGATGGCCATTGCCTGCAGCTTGCATGAGGGCTGTAAAACGATACCCACCGCGGGTCTGCAGCTGGGCTCCGGCCTCCACCAATGCCTCGACCACCATCAAGTGGCCGCTGCCTGCAGCGCAGAGGAGGGCTGTGAAGCCATACTCACTTTGGGCCTCCAGCTGGGCTCCGGCCTCCACCAATGCCTCGACTACCTCCAAACGCCCGTTGTCTGCGGCCCAGATGAGGGCTGTCAGGCCATGCACATCGCGAGCCTCCAGCTGGGCTCCGGCTTCCAGTAGTGCCTCGACGACCTCGAGGCTTCCTTCGTATGCAGCGTAGATGAAGGCTGTGTGGCCGAGCCGATCTGGAGCGTTCGGGTCCGCCTTCTGCCGGAGGAGTTGCATCACCCCTCGCAGCCTGGCTGGGCCATTGGGCTGCTGAATCTCCAGCATCGCCCTCCTCATTCGATCTGTCACATTCTGGCTCAAAGCATGCGAGAATTCTTCGAGCCCTGACTCTGACACCTTTGCTACTGCAGCCTTGTCCGAAGGGTTCAGATTTCTCCACAGCGTCGTACGTAGCTTGCCGCCTAAGCCCAGCTCATCCACTTCCTCTGGTCTGATCCCGGCTGCGGCCATGGCCGCGAATTGAGGGCTCACGACCTGGCAGGGAACAGAAGGCTTATCGTTAATCGCACACTTGCGTTGTCCTGTCGAGCCGCGAGGCTTCCCGAATTGGGCCTGGCGGAGGTCCTGGTCCTTCTGGTCCTGCTCCCGCTTGGCCTACAGAGACACTCTGAACAAACATCGCACCGAGGCAAGCACAGAACCAAGATCTCTCTCCAAGCGGCCTTGACCAGCTTCTCCACGTGATCTGCCAAGGCCTCGTCCAGGCCGCAAGCCCCGGAACAGTCGACGCACTGCCACTGGAGCCTCGACCTCATCGCGAAGGCTTCTGGGCTCCACTGCGTCACTGACTTGGACTTGGCCCAAGAGGGCAGGCGGGCGAGAAGCTGCTGTTGTAGCGCTGGGCTCGTCTTGTCACAAGTTCCCATCAGGTCCACGAGCAGCACTTTCGGAGACCAGAATCCGAGCCCCCAGGCGGCGAGTCCCACAGTGGGGAGCTCGTGGGCGGACAGCACGGACTCTGACAAGATACGCGGGGTGCCCGTGATGTGCTTGTTGACCAGTGCAATGACTGTTCCCTGTGCCTTGTCGCGCATTCCGAGCACAAAGCTCATGCTTGCGATGGACCACATGTTTTCTGCAAGTGGCCTGGTTTCAACGTCTTCGTAGCAAGCATCCAGATCCTGGCTCGCTTCGATGGCTTGGCCCAGGAAGCTGTCCGGGTGGACCGTCGCGTGTTCGATCGCCTTGGCAAAGTTCGAGAGCTTCGCCTGCGTCGTGCGATTCTGGGGGTCCCCATCCCAGAAGCCGGCCCAAAGCAACGCATCATGCCGAGTCCGGGTGAGCTCTACCAGCCAGCTCCTCAGAAAGGAGAGTGCTTGATAGAGACTGAGCGTCTTGCTCGCCAGCTCGACGGAAGCGACCGCTTCTCTGGAGACTCGGAGGGTTTCGACCAGATGGCTTCCCGATGCAAAGATATCGCTTACGCTCTCGACGCACGTCTTGTTCGGGAGAGCTGGGACGTAGTAGTCGAGAAGCCAGTCGGCTCGTGGCTGCAAGCCTTGGCATGCAACCGTGAGGTTGTTCATGAGCCACCCGAGCTGCCGATGGCAAACCTTTGGGGAGCTCTGCCAGTCCTTCCTGATGCTGGCAACTAGCTCCCGGAGCCTCAGCTGCTCCTCCTCCTCCGCCTCCTCCGCCTCCTCCGCCTCCTCCGCCGCATCGCCGGCCTCTGCGTCTGCGTTGGCTGCAGTGGCCTCCGCCAGCACGGTTGCGAGGAGCTCCTGAAGCTCCTCAACCGAGCTCGTGGGATGCTCATCCCACGGCCAGACCTGATTCTTCGACCGGAGCCCGGCTGCAAGGGCGATGGAAACACAGCGGAACCATCGCGCAAGCATCCTACATGGAAGTATTGACAGACACCAAACGGGAAGTTGCTGGAGAGCACTGCGCTCTGCGGCACATGCAGCTGCAACATCTGGCGGAAAAGAGGGACTAAACCCTAAACCCTAAGCCGCTGGGAATGGAAGGGGACTATAGATCCTCAACCCTAAACCCTAAACTCTGAACCCTAAACCCTAAACCCTAAACCCTAAACCCTAAACCCCAAAGTTTAGGGTTTTGGGTTTAGGGTTCAGGGTTCAGGGTTCAGGATTTAGGGTTTAGGGTTTAGGGTTTAGGGTTTAGGGTTTAGGGTTTAGGCTTTAGGCTTTAGGCTTTAGCCTTTAGGCTTTCGCCCGGCTCTTTATCCTTTAGGGTTTAGGGTTTAGGGTTTAGGGTTTAGGGTTTAGGGTTTAGGGTTTAGGGTTTAGGGTTTAGGGTTTAGGGTTTAGGCTTTAAGGTTGATCTTTATTCTGCTAAGGCACGATGGGGTGGAGCGAGCGTCAACAAATTTTGCGAAGCAGCTTGGGCATACAACTATTTCTTGCAGGCAAGTCCTGTTTTTGGAGAATTAAATGTCGGAAAACGTTCCTTTCCGCGATGATTAGGGAGTTGCAGGTTGCCTTCCACTTGTTTGGGGAGACTTCTTCTTGGGGCAAAATCCAATGTTGGGCCCCGACTTCTCCAAGAGAAGACGTATCTCTGTTGCCAATGCGTGGAAGGAACCCTGGAAGAAGCAAGTCTTTCAGGTTGCTGATCTTGCTTATCTGGCTTCTACGCGTCAGAGTCACATGTGGCGCGGCTTGTTCCGGGCTACGACCAAGTTGTGCCGACCGTGGACACGTCCGCGATTCAACACCTCACTTCTTTCCTGCCAATTGGCCAAGATGAATTCAGTGATCCCGAGCATCCCTAGATCAATTCCAGATCTTGGATCGTGTCGATTATTCGCCCTTCAAACCTTGCTTGATGGTAGTACAGTGAGTGTCCAGGTTCTTCTTCGGTCAGTTGCTGCGCCGGGGGCTAATGCGTGGTTGCACCATGCCCCGTCTCCTACCAGCTGACGTTCTGATCTTGGCACCCCTCACACTTCGGCAATTTTTTTGGTCCAAGTATCCCTTAGTCCTTTCAATCTTCGGCCTTGGCTACCAGCAACGGGTATTGCGGGCTGCGACCCAGTATGCCCAGCGTAAACGTACACGTGCGGATGTTGCTGCGAGGTGCGTAGCAGTGAGTCTCGGCTTCGAACCCATCGTGTTTGAGAGTTTGGGCTGCCTTGAACAAGGGTCCAGGGATTTGGGGTTTAGGGTTTAGGGTCCAGGGATTTGGTAGTTAGTTTGTGTTATCGGGTCGATGAACGCTGTCGTCGTGCGGCGGGATATTATTTGCAGGAATGTCTTGGTCGACTGAAATTTCGATCTGCCGAGCGGGCCCCATAGAACCATCGAATCCCATGGAATGCTTCGGTTGGGACATTTGATGTGTCCTGATGCGATCGATGCCTTTTTGGATTTATGTGAGTGATTCGTGAAACCCCCATTCATGTGAATATCTTGCAGGATGCCCTTCACGCAATCACGCGTCGAGGCCAATTGAAACCACGATTGGTTTCACGAAAATGGTATTTTGAAATTTGATGTATTTCGAATTAATTCTGATTGACATGTCTGGGTCTCACATTTATCTGTTTCACAATTGGGAGCCCTCGTTGTTTCTTGTCACTTTCTAGTCTTTCTGGGATGCCTCAGGAAGTAGGGGTGGTGGGTTCGGCCTTTAAGCACGACGAGGCGTCCTGAAGAGTCTATTGTGGGCTCAAGCACTCACGGACGGTTTTCAGACCCAAGCAGCAAAGAATGCTCTCGGTGTTTGACCCTTTTTGGAAAAGTGTGTGATGTTGACTCTGTACACTTCAATGTTTTGTCATCTCACACGTGCTGTGTCTGGGCCTAAACCCGCAGAACAACATAGATGCATGCCAAGACCCGATGACCCGATGCTGGCGAGATACCTGACGTCCAGGGGCTTTCGCTCTCCCCTGCCTCAAAATGAGAGATGGCTCACTCGTTCTGTTCTGGACGCAGTTCAAGCTCGGTTCTTCCACGCCAAGCATTGTCATAGCAGTGCCTTGCGTTGGTGGGATCATCAAAACGATCATCGCGGAGTTCGGTGCGACCGTCAGCATGAACGATCAGCGTCCTCCTTCTGCCCGTCAAGGATTGCCTTCGAATGACCTCTGGTAGGCGCGCGTCTGACGGACAGAACAAGCGCGCTCTTGGCATGGGATATCCCTTACCACCGGATCAAGACATTTGGACGGCGGTGAGCGTCGTGGATGAGGTGATCTCGGACTCCTGCTGGAGGGACTTGGAAGATGGCACTCAAAGGTCCTCCCCAAGGGCTAGCTGTTCTTAGCACCTCGCGGTTCGGAAGCTGGTGGGCCTATTTGGGGAAGCTCTCGAAGATCATCTTCATGATCACGCTTTCACTGATGTGTCTAGCTCTGCTTCGGGTTCTTCGATGTCACGGTTTCTCCATAACGTAACCCAAAAATTGTCCATTCCCTTCCTGAGCAGCCACTTCAAGGCTGCCCAAATCAGTCTCACGTTTTACCCATCAAAGCTCACCTCGTGCCATGGCCTCCCTGCTTCGACTCGGAGGCGCAATTTCGCCAGCGAGCCCTGGAACTTGGCCTAAACAGCCGGGCTGGCGACCATCAACAACCAGGGCAACGCATTGACGATGAAGAGTTCAGGCTCTTCCTGCAAACCAAATGGGAGCCGAATCGCAAATCGGCGCCGTTGCTGCGGCCAAGAACCTCTTCTGTTCGATCTGTTCGAAGCTCATGTCTTCATCACACCCAGCTGAAGAACCGCCTCGAAGTCACCAGTGACTCGGTCAAGCCGGTGCCCCGTTCCCGCCTTCATTGACACCATGGTCCACGAGGCGGAACTGAGCAACTCAGCTAGGTTCCGCCGAGTCGGTGTCCTTCCCGCAAGCAAGAGCTGTCCAGCAAGACCTTAGAAGTCGACAGGAGCAGCATCAAGCTGAAGGAAACAGACAAGTCCATCTTCGTGGAAAACAACACGGAATTCCTGCTGTACCAAGCCATGAGACGAAGAGGGCTTGTTCTTGAGCGCAAGCTCCTCCTTGGGGGCGGTCTGCAAGGGAAAAGACAAGGACACGGAGGCCCGCTGGCTGGCGGAAGGAAACAATCCGGCAACTGGCAGCGGTGCACGCCCTATTTGCATGAGAACCCGCCTAGAAACTGTCCGAGAGGAAAGAACGGTGCCTGCGACCCCAGGCATATATCAGGACAAAGCTCAATGCGTGGCAAGCCTTGGAGCACCGACGATCCCATGCATAATACCGCCCGCCAAATTTCCTCGAGGCTGTGCGCAGCAGAGCACTCACAGCATTTACGTGGCGAGCAGAACCTCGATACTTTTGGGCGATCTGAAACCTTGCATGCCCAGGTAAGACGAGGTCCAATGTCTCCGACAGGTCCCCCCGCTGCACTGCCTTGCAACTGCGTCCGACCCTGGAGCCCCTGCTGACTGGGGTGAGGCTCAGCCCATGGAAGGGTACGATACCGTAACGGCACATTGGGCATCTCACAAAGGCCTAGGCGGGCGCAATAAGAATAAAAGCTCTCAATGGCGCGCGGTCTAAGCTTTACTTCAACTAGAAGCCGGGCGACCCGATGTCGGCGCTAGATGACTTCCAAAGTAAATTGCGCGCATCATCCATGCTTGTTTTGAATGGGCGCCTCTTTACTATGTTAGTGGGCGGTGGGTTGAGTCGGAAGTGACCATGCAGAGAGTGCTCAGTCGAAAAGGCACACAGTTCCCTGAGCTTGGAGGCGTCGAGGATGGCCCCCTTTTCGATGGCTCCTTCTGCAACTCAAAGGAGCTCGAGGGTCTGAAGCTTGCCCACACCAATGTCAAGCACAAACCTCCAAAACCGGAGTTTACCAAGCCGTTTGACGTGCCTGTGTGGCAGGTTGATGACGATTGAGAGGTTGAGACGCGCATCGGCGGCACGCAGAAGCTGGCCAGCTTCCGCCGAGACGTGGGGGCTCTGGTGTGGTTGCAGTTTTTTTTTCGCAGCCCATGAGGAAACTGCAGGCGACAACCCCCGGCGGGATTTTGCTCAGGGATGGCAATAAGTCAGTCCGAGCTTATGTGGAAATGGTGGACCAACTCACCGCAGCTCCTGTCTTCACATGCACTACAAGCCAGAAACGCTCTCCAAGCTGACAAAATCAAAATTCTCTGCTGCCGTTTCTCACCGCGAGTCCGGACGTTCTTGCGAGAGAAAACGAACTGTCAATTGCGGACGCAGTCAAAGTTGCAGTGTAAAAACTCGACTATGGTCCGCCTGGGGGCCGCCCTACGCCTCGCGGGCCTCGCGGGCTTCGCGCGCTTCGCGCGACATGCGCGCTGCGCGCGCTTCGCGGGCTTCGCGCGCTTCGCGTGCTTCGCGCGCCTCGCGCGCTTCGCTCGCTTCGCGCGCTTCGCGCGCCTCGCGCGCCTCGCGCGCTTCGCGCGCTTCGCGCCGCGCGCTTCGCGCGCTTCGCGGGCTTCGCGGGCTTCGCGTGCTTCGTGCGCCTCGCGCGCTTCGCGCGCTTCGCGCGCTTCGCGCGCCTCGCGCGCTTCGCGCGCTTCGCGCGCTTCGCGCGCTTCGCGCGCTTCGCGGGCTTCGCGGGCTTCGCGGGCTTCGCGCGCTTCGCGCGCTTCGCGGGCTTCGCGGGCTTCGCGGGCTTCGCGCGCTTCGCGCGCTTCGCGGGCTTGGCGCGGTTCGCGCACTTGGGCGCGCTTCGCGGGCTTCGCGGGCTTCGCGCGCTTCGCGCGCTTCGCGGGCTTCGCGCACTTCGCGCGCTTCGCGCCTCGCGGGCTTCGCAGGCTTCGACACTCCTAGTAATACTATTAGTAATGGTAGTAGGAGTAGTCGTCGTCGTCGTAGTCGTAGTCGTAGTAGTACTCGTAGTAGTAGTAGTAGTAGTAGTAGTAGTAGTAGT